GTATAACAAATAAACAAATAAACATATCAAAACAAAATAAACAAAACTAATCAAAACTAAATAAACAAAAAAAAAAAATACTAAAACTATCTACAAACAATACTAAACTAATATCAAAATAAAAACAAATAACAAAAAAAAATACAAAAAAAAAAAGTCAGGTAATATTAGTAACATTATCTTCTTCTTAAAATATGAGCTCCTGCAAATATTTTTAAAACTCGTCGGGAATAGTAGAATCGCTAGCTTCTTCTAAGTAGGCATGATAAGCTTCTTGTTTTAGCACCTCAAAATCAGAGTCATACATACGAGCTAAGACCCTGTAACTTATCTTTTTTGCTTGGTACAGATTTTAGATTCCTCGAGCATTGTATAGCTCAAAGGTCCTTTTAGCTACTCGAAATACTTCAGGTCCTTTTCAAGAGCCAACTTCTTGTATTAAAAAATTTAAAGTATTCTCGTTTCAACTTCTTATACAAAGAAGTTCACCAAGTCGATAGCACCATTTTAAAAATCGATAAATAGCCTTATCTTCATTCTCGAAGTATTTAATCTTCTTGCAAATAGATCACACCTTATCTTCCCAGGAATGGCCAAATACTTCTACCATGTCTTGTAGACCAGCACTTGTAATAGGTTTTTGAAAATCCTTAATATATAGAGACAATTTTTGTTGAATCTTCTAAGCATCAGTAAGCTTCAAAGAGGCTTGCATTACTTGAGTTTTGCTTTGATAAATAATTTCTTTGAGAGTAATTATCATAATTGAAATTGAATTCAATTTTTGTAATTCATATTGAAGTTGTTCAGCCATTAATCTTGTTATTCTAGGGAGTTGTGCCATTTTTTTCTTGGTTTCTTCTTTTTCTAAATCTTCTTGGTTTGGGGGTTTTTTTTTTGCTTCTTTGGTTTTGAGTTTGTGTTTTCTTAATTTTTGTTTTTAGTAGAGCAAGGCAGAGATGAGCTCTTTTTATAGAGATCTTTTTGTTGTCTTCATTATAATCTCTTCTTTTTTCTAAAAATTTCTAAAAGTTTCTATAAATTTCCTTAATTTTCCCATAAACAATGAAAATTTTCCTTATTCTTCTTTAAGTTTCTATATTGTTTCGATAAATTTGGTTTGCTCTATTATTTTCTTCGCTTTTATCACATGTTATAATTGTTCTAGCAATTTCTGTTATCCAAATTTGTATATCCCATCAAAATATACCAAAAATATACCAAAAATGACACAAAATTACCAAATATAATACCACATGCTTCAACCTTATTTTGACTAATTGTTCCCAGCATAATGTTCAAAGAAATAAACAAAAATAAAAATAATCTAAAAATAAAATAAACAAAGAAGCAAAATAATAAAAAAAGTATTATATGCTCCATCACCCGCATATGATTGTCACAATCCTCCACTATAATATTGTACCTGACGAAAGTAATAAACAGAATACAAAAATTTGGAAAATAATATCAAGATTTTTAACTAAATTAAGTATATTGTTGAAGAAGTTTTTTTTTTTTTTTGATAAAATTTCTATTATATATATATATGTAATAATAATTTTTTTTTTTATCAATTTCAACAATAAATACTAATAATAATAATAATAATAATAATACTAATAATAAAATGCCTTGTATTTATATTTCTTGCACTGTTCATCATGCTTATCGTAATAGAAATGAGGCCCTCTATGAAGCTCTTGATGAGGTGCAGGACCAAAATAGAATGTAGATATTTATAAATCTTTATAAAAGCCTCAAATAAAATATTAATTTGTAATTTATATTAGGTTGTAGCATGAAGTCAGGTTCTTAAAAAGAAGAGTTGCATTGTTGGAAGTGGAGTTGGAAAAGATTCAGTTTTGGAATGCAGAGTTGGTAGAAGAAAATTGGAGGAAAGATGAGGAGCATTGGCGAGTTGTTCAGGAGAGAAACCAGTTGCATGTTCAGCTTATTGAGTTGAAGAGTTGTATAGATAATATAAATTTGGATGAGGAGTTTGATATTTAAAATTTTATTTTTTTATTTTTTTATTTTTTTTTCTCTTTTTTTTTTTTCATATTGTTGTTTTCTTTTTTTCTTCTTTTTTTTTTTTTTGTATATATATATATATCTTAGTGTTTTTAAAATTTTAATAAAAATAAAATAAAAAAAAGCAACCATCTAAATATTTCAACTAAGAGCCACACTGAACTCAGTACCTAGCAGGCAGCTCTCTTAGCCGGTTTTGAACCCGGGTCTGTATAATGACAGCCCTCCACCATAACCGTTAATCCATATTTAGATGATATTAAAAATTTTTTTGCTACTCCTTATAATTGTTAATTTAAGTAATGATCTCTCCAATCATAATTCTTGTTTTCACATAGAGCCTATTTATAGAAGATCATTGATGATTTAGCCATATCTAACCTTCTATAATAACTTGTAGTATCGGTAGTAGTTTTTGATAATAAAGTTTTAATCGATCACTGTTTATAGGTTCCTTAAGTATTTTTCGGTCTAATGTTCGTAACTTGTATACTCCATTGCTTAAAACTTCATGAACATAGTAAGGTCCTTTCTATGAGTCTATTAGCTTTCTTCTTCCTTTTAACTCACTTCAATATAACAAGACAAGATCTCTAATTTTATATTTAATTATCTCTTTTAAATTCTAATTATGCCTTTTCTTTTGGTACTCCTAAGATCTTTTAATATTTTTTTATACTTGTATATGATCTTCTTGTAACTTTCTTATTAATTGATATATTCTCTGCAATAGAGTTTCCTGCTTATCCTCTTCTTTCTCTTGAAATGCATGAGTTTCAACTTGAAATTCTACTGGCAAGATGACTTCTCATCCATAAGTTAAATAAAAAGATTCATGCCAAGTTGTATTATGTTTTATAGTCTGATAAGCAAATAGCACAGAAGGTATATACAAATCCCAATCATCTTTGTTTTTATTTGAAAACTTTGCCAAGGTCTTGCATAAGGTTCTATTAAAACGTTTGACAAGCCCATTTGTTTGTAGATGATAAGCAGAGGATAATTTATGCTTAATCCCAATTTCTTTGTATAGAGCATCCATTATCTCATTAATGAAATGAGTTCCTCTATCAGTAAGTAGAACTTTTGGACATCTATGCCGACAGATTATATCTTCATAGAAGAATGTAGCGACAGAGTCAGCTTTTGTATTAGGTAAGGCTCGAGCTTCAGGCTATTTTGTCAAGTAATCTATTACAACTATTATGTATTTATTTCCTTTATTAGTCATAGGTAGTGGTTTAACAATATCCATTCCAATATGATCAAAAGGCTGTCCAACTTTAATTGGATGCAAGGGCTTTGTTCGGATAGGTTTGCCTCTTCGTTGACATTCATCACAAGTTTGTATATACTTCTTAATATCATTATACATCTGTGGCCAGTAATAACGTATTGCTATTTTTCAATAGGTTTCATTAATCCCAAAATGTCTAGCAAAGAATAATATCAATTTCATTTTGCTTCACAACTTTGAAAAGTCTTGTGAATTCTTTTTTGTTCTTCTTATATAATTATCCTTCTATAACAATAAAATATCTTGATTTATTTTTAAGAGCTTTAATTTCCTTTTGTTCTAAATTTTTGGGCCAAGTGTGGTCCGTTAAATACTGCACAAGGAGATAATATGGGCTGCCGTCAATAGAAATCAGGCAGATCTACATTTGAAAAAAAATCAATGCCTTAAATTTCACAGCTCATA